AAAATATTGAAATATATATTGTATGATATTCATTGCACAACAATGCAAGGAATTTTTTTTTATTATTTGGTTTGTTATTTTCATCAAGATCTAATTTATGTTTGCAAGACGAAAGAAAACCTTTTGAATTTTCAATCGAAGATAAAAGAAACAACGTAGCAGGGATTCCTTATTTTCTCGAATCGCAGTTTGAAAAGTGGATGAGCGTCTTTGAAATCCATTCGATATTTAATAAATTGATTACCAATAATATTACTTCTACGTATGCAGCTTAATGCATTTGTGCAGGAAGTAAATTACCTTTCGATCTTCTAGTTCGATGACGCAATAGGATTATGGCTTTACTTGGCACTGGTGAAATAGATCGCACACGAGGATCAATCGAACGCCCGTTGTGATGTAATAACAGTCAGCTCTATGTATTAGTACTATTGAGTGAATGCGAATGTATAAGATTAAAAGTGCAGGATTTATCTGTAAAAGTAGAGTAGGTTAACGGGGCTTCGTTTTCTTTGATGTTTGTCAACAATGTCTACTTGAGAAACTTATCGCCTTTATGTTACGAGTGTAAGTTGAAGAACTCTCAAGCTTCGGGGAGACGTAAGTTTGAAGAATCTTCTGCCATTGAAGAAGCAGTGGCATAGCCGACATTGTCTAGTCCTTTAGATCCTCGGGTTTACTTATTTTAAACGTCGGCGTTAGTTTTGCCTGCTCTTTTTGCAATGGATATAGGTATATGGGGAATAAATCCGATAAACAGATTACCTGGTTTTTTTTTTCGTTTTTCTTTTCTTTTCATTTCTTTGTTTTTTTTTTTTTTTTTTTTATATCTCCGTTAGCTCCGTACGTCGAAAGATTGATTAATATTACGATCGCGTGGAAATTTATTCGCGGACGTTACACAAATGCAAGATTATCTACTTTACTTCTGTAATAATTTTTATAAGAAAATCCAAACTATTCTCTTCGTCTCTCCAGCCTCTAATCCAATGGATAACTATAATCGTTCATCCATTTTTTTTAATTAAAACTTCTTCTTATTTTACGTACGTGCATGATATACTGTAGTTGCTGATATTAAATATATGAGCGAATGAACTTGAGACGAGTGTATTCAATCGAGGCGGATAGTCGGTAAGTGTCATGGGCGTAAATTGCGCAAGATCTACTGAAGAAATAAATGCTCTTTATACTTCTTCCTCACCTTTCTTACACTTGGACTCGTACTGTCGCACTTGCCATTGGGTTTGTAATTTATGTGGAGCTTTTGGCTGTTATTATCCTGTAGCAACGGGACGTCACTCCACTTGTCGCACTTACTTTCAGGGTGTAACGGACTGTCATAATTAATGGAAGCTTCACGACGATTAATCAATGTGAGCTTAGGAGAGCGATAAGAGCCAACGTATTTTGCTTCTGTTGGTAAAACGATCTTGGACGTTTTAGAAATAACAACGACATTCTTTCAAAGTTACTTCAATAATAATAATTATTACTTAAAACAATAGATATTTCAATGCTATTTTTCCAAAAATTTTCAAGCCCCTTGATTTTTTAATTATAAGCATTTTCTAAATTATCTAGGCTATTTATTTATTTATTTTTTATTTAAAAATAGAATGTTGATCATTTAACTTATTAATAATAATTGTACTCTTACGAATTATCCAATGAAACAATGGTCTTTAAAAAATATAATTACTGGCTTATAAAGGCACTGATAGCGTAATTTTTTTTCTTTATTATTTAAATTGAAAAATGCACAAATCTCGATAAAATTAGTTAGAAATTAAAGCACAATTTTTCATCAGAATGAGTTTAAGAATGTGAAATATTTAAATGATCTCATGCCAGTATTACATTACTGTAATAATATTTTAAATAAGTTTTAAAACTCTGTTTTGATAAATATTTATATTTCAATATTATCCTTTGGTTTGCGTGTAAATTGAAATTCTCGACACATATAAATGTGATGCCACTAGACCAAATAAGAAACCATGAAAATTTATTCATTTTTATAATTGGTCAAACTTTATTGTTATTTGGACAATATTCCGTATAACAATTTATTATTATACTATAAAGACAATCGGTGAATTCAGTTTAAATATCGATAAATAAACTAAGAATTACGTAGAAATTTTACTTTCAACGACCAAAGTTAAATTCTATTTTAAATCTCAAAGCATAAAATGTTCAAACGATCCTTAAATTTAATGATATTTTTGTTTGTTTTTACTACGACCGTTTATTTCCGATATTTCAACTAATTCTCTCTTCACTCAGCATGCAATATCAATTCAATTAATATTTGGAGATTTATGCGACTACAGATCACAATTACGTGCACATTGTAAGCAATTAGCGAAATTAGAAAACAAAATTAATACTAAAACTGTATTTTAGACTACGAAGAGAATGTTATACATATACATTAATTATTATAATTTTATTATATTAATTGAATTTTACACTACTACTTATTCACCTTTTCTCTTTGAAGTTTCTTAAATATAAAAAACTAGTGATGAAAGTTGGAGGAAAAAATTAAAATACAACATGTGCAATCATATAATTTTTCTCTTTATTGAAGACTAACGATTGTTGTTGGCCAAGAAAAACATGACGTTATACGCATTATGTATTATATCTCCTTTTCTTTCACTCAACCATAATAAGTAACAAATTATAATTGTCCTGCAATATGTAAATTAAAAAAATAAAACGAAAAAAATAAAATAATATATATATATATATATATCAGCACGAGAAGTAGCCACAGAAGAGCACTTCGCACTATCACATTTTTTAATTTAGAATCTCTAGATTCTAAGTATCGAGTAGTAAGTTTAACTAGCGCGAGAATTCTATAATTCTCGAAGACTTATTCGTTTGCCATTTTTCTGTAATTAAATGTTTTATGTATTCGTTGAATACTGTTAGATTATAATGTCGATCTTACATTGCAAATAGATGGAATAAAGGAACAAAAAACTATATGAAATTTAACATGGAAATAATGAAAGTTAAGTATGCAGTTTCTAAATAAAAACAAATGTATTTAATGGCGTGAGAAAATAATTTTCACTCAATGTTTAATATCACGTAAAAATAGAATTTTTTCTTATTTTTATAATTCACAGAGTGAATAAGAATTAAATTTTTTCCCGAATTATTTATTCTACTTTCTTTGCCTTGAAATAATGTTGCTCGCTCAATTAATATTCATTCAAAAGAGCAAAACATAATGATAGTTTCAATTTATTTAATAGACGGAAGACAAACAGCTAATATTCTGAAAACGTAAATTAAATTTTTATGTGATATTTTCACATCTCCTTAAGTAAAATCTACTTAAATGTAATTCCGCAAATGACGAAATTATAATAGAAACATACATAACAAAAAAAATAAAAAAAAAATAAATAATATATATATATATATATATATATATATATATACATACACTTCATCACTACTTCATCACTTTCACCTTACATAATGCCAGATTTATGAATTACGGTTCACATAAAGCTCAATGATCAAAACCATTATAAAGTTTAATTAATATTGAACCTAATTTTTCAATAGTTTCAGACAAAAATACATATACCAACGATAGATTATCTACAACGAACATTACATGATCTACATTACGTCACTCTAAATCTACTTTACACTGTGCACTTTTTTTCATACACATTTTTGTTTATATATTTTGATCTTAATATCATTATCGTACTTCATCTTAATCAATCATGATTTTTCCTTCATACCGAATTAAATATAATGAATCTATTATATATATTAGCGTATAAATCTAATTACTATAAAATATATATATATGATGTTGTAATTTATCATGTTTATCAAATGATGGATGTGATGCTAGTTTGGTTCGCTATTAAAAAAAAAAAAAAAAAAAAAAAAAACAATACGGAATAACGTCGATGTTGACAGTTTGTAGTTTTTTTTGTTTTTGCCAATTAGGTAAAACATTTACAAAAAATGCGCAAAAATTCTAGAAATTAATATAGGAATTTTGATTAAAAACATATAGTTAACACACGCGTGGAACAACAATATGAAAGAACTTCAATATGTTCTTGTAGAGGTAAATTGACATTTCCAGACTAATTCGAAAACATTATACTGTAGTATATTTGCAAAATATTTCACTCAATTTATTCATTCTTTTCTTAAAGTAGTTATAATTTTACGTTCGTGGGTTTGTTGTTCAAACTCTTTTTCTCTTTGTTTTAACGAGACTTAAAAGATTTAAATTATACTCGACTTAATAGCTATTTTTTTTAGCTTTCAAGAATACTAAAAATATGTTATAAAATTACAAATTTGTTTAGTTGCTTTTGCGCGCGTATGTTTTTTTTTCTTTTAGGTAAAGTATGTATCAATGAAGTACGGTAGATTTGTGTATTATTATTATCATTTGCTCATTAGAGACAACGAAATTTTTGGCAGTTGTCACGAGCAATTATTTTCGCTTCCTTTTATCAATATACATTTGTTGCTTAAGCATTAAAATTATTTCTCTTTTAATCAAACTATTTTTGTAACATATAATGCTTTCCATTATCTTACATTATGTAATTCATCTAATATAGCTTTATATATATATATATATATATATATATATATATATATATGCAATTTTCTCCTTGTCCCGCTTATTTTCTGTTTCTCTTTTTCCTTTTTTTTTATTTTTGTTCTTGTTCTCATCAACTTCTCCCTTATTTTTCATTTTTTTACCCCGGGGCCCCCCCTCTTTTTCACTTTAGCTGTCTCATTTTTTCTTCATATATTCATTCAACGGAATATAAACTTTAATTTAGCAGACAAAATCATGAAATCGATGTTCCAGCGGCTATTTATAAAACAATTAATATTTGGCAATATATTTCGCAACGTATGGTATAATGGATTATGGAGACAATATTAATTGACGAGTTTCTCTCTCTCTCTCTCTCTCTCTCTCTCTCTCTCTCTCTCTCTCTCTTTCTTTATTTTATAAGCTTCGCTTAAGTATCTTGACTAAAAGCAGTTGCTATCTACTTAGTATTTGAGGATTTTGTTGGATTTCTTTATTAATGTTGTCGCTCTGGTCAATCTGTCCGCTGCCTGCGCGAATAGGTTTTATAGACTTGAGCTTCGTTGTACCACCATATTTAAAATTTACGTCACTGCATGTATCCAAAGGATGTATAGTCCCGGACAAATTCGTTATTGATTCGGAATTCGTATCTTCCAACTTTGTCGTTGGGATTTTCCTTATGCTGCCTGTTGAATAAGAAAATGCAAATTTACCCATAGTTCGTTATTATTATTATGATTATATATACATATGATTAGCATAAAAATATACTCGTATACACAATATATAGGAAAAGAAAATTTTGGAAATTACCAATGGCCTTTCTTATCGTCAAATTCAAGAAAAATGTTACTTGTCAGATTCTATCGCAATAAGCATAACAATGCCATAACAATGAAGTTTGCAATAATTTTTTCTCAAGTTTTTCAATTTCTCAACTCACTCTGAAAATTAGTAATGATTAAACCTTTTTTTTTCACACAATTCAAGTGCTTTAGTGTATGTATAGCTGGCGATGTGCAATAATTAATAGAATATTTCGTAGCCGTAGATGAGATTTGCGTAATTGTGTGTTTTTTTTTTAACACGCCTATTTTAAAATTCTTTAGTCCAGTGTTTTTACTTGTTCGATAAGCAAAAGCCTTAATTACAAATAATAATTTCTCTACGGATTTGATGAATACGTATACGGCAGTCTCAACATTATTCAAGTTTTGATTTTGTAAATCCTTTCCAACTTATGTCATCTTTTCTACACATTTGCCACGCTTTCACTTACATTACAAATTCGATGTTCAATAAACGATATATTAAAACAAAATTATCTAGAATAAAATCAATTAGAAGCCTTGACTTCCTGTGTTCGCTACGTTTACATAAATCCAAAGCTTTCTCATCACAGCCCCTACTTCCCCTAATCACAGTCGCTAATACACAACATATTTGCGCATTAAGAATCTGTAAAAATCTTTTTGTTTACCCAGTTCGTAAGCCGATTTAGACGACTTGAGGTGAAGCTTAGTGTTCCTCGGTAAGGAAACCGATTTCTCCAAGTCATCGAGCGCTTCGTACTTCAAGGCATTATCCTTCTGCCCGACGTTTACCGTGTTCCCGGTGCCCGCCGAGCCCGTCATCTGTATATCGATGTTCACAGACTTGGAGTCGTTCTCGTCGTTGGCCTCGCTATTGTCCACGGCCTCGTTGATCCCGTCCTCGCCGCTAATAGCCGCCATTTGTCCGCGCTGATGTTTTATGTGGTTGTGCGATATGGCGAAGAAGGAGGAGACCTTCTCGAGCTTTGTACCGAGATTCGGCTGGCTGAGGGCCGACTTGAGTGGGTACGGCGTCTCGATCATGCTCTGGGTCTTCATTAGACGCGCATCCTTGTTCGCGCTTAGGCTCTTTCTCGCCTCGTACTTATTGTTGTTATCCTCGATGATGCGGGAGGTGCCGCTGTTGTTATTGCGCCGCCTCTCCGCGACGGAAAGCTGCGCGACGATACGGCGCACATCACCGGGTATATCAATGTCGGCCCGCGAGTCGGCCAACTGCTGGATGAACGTACCCATCGTGAAAATCGTAACCTCGAGATTACGGTTATTCAACTCCAGACGCTGAATGTTGGATTGCTGATGCGAGCGAGTCAGCTCCAGTCGATGTTGTTTCCCCATTGCCAACTGCGAGGCATTTTTAATTAGTCATGCCGCATTAACATTCGTTTAATATTTAAAATGTTTATATTTCTCACGTCTTTTGCGTATGGGTGAGGATCAGAGAGAGAGAGAGAGAGAGAGAGAGAGAGAGAGAGAGAGAGAGAGAGAGAGGCTTGTCAGTAATTGGAAATACTATTTCAATAAATCCAATGAACTCGTCGGGACTTTGCGAATCGAATAAAGTTTTTGACGTTTGACATTTCTACTTACCTGCAATTGTTCATTAAGGTAAGCATTTTGTTGCGTTAGTTGCTTATTAAGTAGCTCAAGCTTCTCGATATTTTCTATTTGCGGCTTCACCGAAAGCATTTCTTCTTGAAGTACTTGGTACTCGACGCGATATTCATTCAATTGCCTCGCCATTTCCGTATCCGGATAAAATACCCGTTTCATGACTCGTTCTAAAGTTACTTTATCCACTGCCGGTACCTTTATCTACAACACAACAACGAATCACAGATCTGCGTAAAGTAGGGGCGATCTAAGCCGCGTGAATATTTAAATAATCATTCAATAGTAATAATTATATTATTAAACACACCTTTAGATATTCCATAATTTCTTCAAAACTATCGCAGCATAATAATTGATCTTGATGCTCTTCTAATAGAGCAAGCGCAACACGGAATATTTGCTCCGACGATTCAAGGAACAATAAATCTACACAATGCAATAAAATTATTTTATACATAATTACATCTTTTACTCTTATTCCAATCGGCCTTATTAATAATTATATAAGCAAATTAAATGGCTCGCTAACGCATTTTTAACAAGATTAACATAACAATGGCTAAAGATTTTAATCCTACTCGTTTTATCTTACAAAATGGAATTTCAGCTTATTTTAGAGATAGTAGTGTTGTTATAATACATTAAGTCGATTAATTTGTCGATTAAAAAAAAAAAAAAAAAAAAAAAAAAAAAACGAAGGCAAAAAGAAAGAAGGCGTTATAATAGTTTGAGCGACTGCAAGTATAAGCAAAAATCAACAAGGACAGAAAACTTTAGCTCACCGAAGACTCTGGTTACAAAGCCAAGTGGAAATTGACTGGCAAATAAAGTTAAAAGCCAAGGGGCTGCGTATAACGTAGGCGAGACTTCGTGTTTGTCAAAATGATTATAAACGGATGGAAGCCTATCATGAAGTAATCTCGATAATTGGTAAAGATGGAGTTGCAGAGCTGCCATGTCCGGTAAATATAGTTTTCTCAGGCCTCGATGGAACATTAGATGTCGTAGAAGGAAGAACGCCTGATCTTCGGACATCTGAAATTAATTGGTCTGCAATTAGTATTTGCATCAGCTAGCTCGAAAGCCCTTATGTTTTTGCTTTTGTTATTAATTGCCAGTAAAATACATAAGACTCATTGTACTCAGATGTTGGGTACCATAAAATTATTCTGCAATTTTTGTATTGCGTAAAATACCTTCCATTTGAGACGAGAAGAGGTGAGCTAGAATGAACATCCAATAAATTAAACGTAAATACGAATTATGATTGCATGTGAGTAAGTTGACAAAATATAATATAATACAAGCATTAGATGAATATTATAATTCCGTATAGGTTTAATGCCTATACTTTTTATCAAAGATGTGTTGATCCAATTTCATTTACCTACAATTTACGTTCTGATACTTTCTGCCTTGTTAGTATATATATATATATATACATATATATATATATATATATATATATATATGTATAAGCGATGGTAAAACAGTTGAGACTGTAGATTTTAAGATTTTACTATTGATTGGGCATGGCTTACGTGCAAAAGAAGAACTCCAGCGACGAAACTTAGTCCCTGGCAGTAGCCGACTTCATGATCAAGAAGCGAATAAGCCTTGAGTAAATTGAAAAGCGCCAATTGCCCGGGACCCAGGGGTGAGCTGAAATAGGGATGGTTCGGGAACGTACGTCCGAGATCAATGAGAATGGCATGCTGCTGAGATGTCAATTGCTTCAGCAGAAGGTCGTATGGGGTGTTGTAATTTGGAAAAGCTTGGGCATCCAGGGGGGGCTGCTTCATGCAGAATTGCTCGGCCAAAAACTGCCAGACCTCGCCTCGCTTTCCCCGAGGCACACCTGATGATTTTACATATATTGTCATTAAGCCTCACTTGGCGATAGAACGTTGATTGTTCTATAATCACTGCCCATTAATATTAAGGATAATATTGTACGCACATTTTATAATCAATGGAGAACAACGGCTTTCCTACCATATTTTTTACAAACCTTGCTTAATCGCTTGAAGAAGCATTTGATTATCGCACTTTGTCGAAACCTTGGACTCCTTGCTGACTAGTAAATCCCATACTTCGACGAGCTGTCGATTACAGCTGCTCAATTCATCGTATTCCAATTTTATTCTCTTGACCGTAGCCTCTTCTTGACTCACTGTAACAGCCAATACATATAATATAAAACACAACAACAACAACAACAACAACAACAACAACAACAACAACAAATTATACGTACCTCTCAGTCTAGCATTTTCCTTTTCCATCCTAATGAGAATTAATTGTTGATTGATTGCTTTCTTCCACAATGCTCGTAGCTCATCTTTCGTTCTCTTTATAATTGGTATCAATTTGGTCTTTTTGGCGTTTAAATTGGCGTTTTTAGCAGCTTCCTTGTTATCCTGATCCTTGCTGGGCGTTACGACGCGATTGAGAATCGCTTGTCTCCAGGAGCCACTTTGTTGCAGTCTATTGTTGGCTTCGCCGCTCTCGGTTGGCGACATTTTTGGCGAATTTCCAACTTTTAAGAAGCTGCATTGAATACACGTTTATTTATTAGTTTCCCATATAAAATTAGATGGCAAACAATTTCTCCTACGATCCTATAACATCCTTAAGACTGGGTAGGATGAGTAGACTGAGTAGACGAAGGATTTCGTTAAACGAGCGTATTACCATTAATTAATAATGACAAATAATATTCGATCGACACTCGTGCTCATCGATCGTTCGAAATTCATCTTCTCAACGACCCAGAAAATCAATAAATTATCCCGACATTAATAACGCCTTAAAACCCTTGAAAATAAATCACCACTCGATTAAACCAACATCACTCATCGACAAACTCATCTTTTCCCCTTCAAGTCTGACAGTGCACTTACATATCCATCATGGGACTCTTCGGGCTGGTCGTGTTAATGCTGATTTGTTGCTCCGGGGAGACCCTAAGGGACCTCGGTCTACTATCCGGTGACGTGTCGGCGATAGGCAGCATGCCGGAGCCGACAGGACTCTGCACTCCCGTCTTGTTGTAATTCGCGTTGAGTTGATTCTGCGAGCCGAGGCCAAAGTCGTCCTTGGAGCCCTTGCGCTTCATGAGATGGTCGAAGCTGTTGGTTAGCGATCGCTTCGCTTTCATGAAGATCGTACTGCCCACCCCGACGTTGAGGTACTGGTTGAGAAACTCGCTCCTGCCGTTTTAAGCATTCGACAATGTGACAATTAATAATTTTTGAAAGGATCATTGGCGCGGGGGCAGGATCTGATGGATGGGCTGTTAATTGGTTTGTTCGATTGTTGTCGATGAGTTGCGAGCAGCGAGGAAGAAAGGAAGGAAGGAAGGGTCTACGTAATACTTTTCTTTCGTTTGCTTTTTTGTTTTTGATTTTTTTGTTTTTGTTTCGATTTGATCCTTCGTACGCGAAACGCTCACTTTTGCAACGATATCGAGCCGCGGAAACGACTGGGATAGAAATAAGACGGCTGGCTGCTCGAGGCGGGAGGCAAAGTTTTTCCAATTCATCGGAGCCGCGGATACGGTCGTTTGATTTCTTGGCTTTTTTTCGTTCTTCTTTTTGCCTTTTGCTTTGGTGCACACTTAATAGCAGTAGTAACGTCGCCTTCGTAAATACAAAACAACTGTACCTATTCTCTGCGGTATCGTGAACGTGACGCGTCTGCTTGTCCTCGCAATGCGCTCGCAGGAGCATCATTAAAAAATGATTCTGATCGGCGAGATTCATGCCCGTGCCAGTACCGTTTGCCGCTTCGGCGCCTTTGTATTTCGTCACGACGACTTCTTGTTCATTTTCCGGCAGCATTTCCAGTCGTGAGAAGATTATACTCTGCGTCTTGCGATCACTTTGTCCTAAAAAATATCGGGTGTTAAGCGGGTTTGCTCGAGAAGCTGTTTGAAAAAAAAAAAAAAAAAAAAAAAAAAAAAAAAAAAAATTGCGCGTTAATTATGACGGGCGCTCGAGCTTTAATGTTATAATGACCATGACAATTGCTTCAGCTCGCAGATATTATAAGGACGCGAGACGAATGAATGTGTCGATCTAAAATTGCCAAGTGGTAAGAGACATTGGCTTTAAACGCGCGGGGGATAAAGGAAATCTTGAAAAATTCCAGGTGATTTAAATTGATTGCCTTACCTTCGATTTCTTGGTATAATTTGCTGAACCAAACCATTGGGCAATGCTCGCAAGAAAATACCGGCCTCTCTTTTCTTCCAGGTCCAACGTACGATTCCTCGAATGCTTGTGTTATTGCTAAAACCAATATTCGATATTAACTTCTTTTGAAATGAACAGGTCGACAAAAATTAAGGCTAAAAATTAATTATAAAAAATGTAAAATTTAACTCTTGAATTATGTTCGAATGATCGTTGTAAATACATTATCCATTCGATCCTCTATATTTTATACATAAATTTGTGCGCGAGTGCGTGCGTCTGCGTGTATGTTTATTAAATTATTTAATCGAGCGTTTGGATAATCGTGTGATTATGTAAAATGTAACAATGATCTTTTTCCAGTGGCTACTTCATTATATCATAATGGCGCTTCCTTACATTATAATACAGTGAGTGTAACTTTTAATATTATAATCCGATTATTCGATTTAATATTACTAGATTTAATATTTAATAAGAACTTGAAGGTATAATAAATGTATAAATAAAGACGTGACTGTAAATATAAGCTAACTGTATCTACCTGCAACGAGATCGTCAGCAACAGAATCTGATTGACACTTGAAAATGTATCCAACAAAACGATCGACACCATTTTCCCGACAAATGAAGCCAAAATGTTCGGGATTTTTTATCCCGTGTACACAACTCGCTACATCTCGTAGTTGTTTATGTAATAAGACTTTTTTCCTATCTGGACTGATAAGTCGAAGGTCCAATCGTCCCACCTGAAGTTCAATTACGTAATTAGTTATATTATTAGATTATTTTATTGGCTAATTCCTTAAATAATTTCACAAATGAAGCATTGCAATTTTAATGATCAAATTATCGTACTTTTCATCTTATATTAATTGTATTAATAGATGGTTGTACGATGCGTTAGGAAATCGTAAATAAAATCAGTTTGCACGCTAAGTGGAAAGCAGAAATGTAATGAGAAATTATCCTGATACGATGTTTAGATGAATTTTCAATCATTTTATTTTCAGTTCCATGATAAACTAAAAAGCATTTCATACATTATTCCGTGACACACGAATAAGAATTAGAAATTCAATAAAGCATCACATTATCTTTGCCATATATTCGTAATTTCTCAATGACACTTGTATTCTAATGAAATCGTTAAGAACAAACAAAAAAACAAAAAAAAAAAAAAAACAAAAAAAAAAAAAAAAAACAAAAAAAAAAAAAAAAAACAAAAAAAAAAAAAAAAAACAAAAAAAAAAAAAAAAAACAAAAAAAAAAAAAAAAAACAAAAAAAAAAAAAAAAAACAAAAAAAAAAAAAAAAAACAAAAAAAAAAAAAAAAAACAAAAAAAAAAAAAAAAAACAAAAAAAAAAAAAAAAAACAAAAAAAAAAAAAAAAAACAAAAAAAAAAAAAAAAAACAAAAAAAAAAAAAAAAAACAAAAAAAAAAAAAAAAAACAAAAAAAAAAAAAAAAAACAAAAAAAAAAAAAAAAAACAAAAAAAAAAAAAAAAAACAAAAAAAAAAAAAAAAAACAAAAAAAAAAAAAAAAAACAAAAAAAAAAAAAAAAAACAAAAAAAAAAAAAAAAAACAAAAAAAAAAAAAAAAAACAAAAAAAAAAAAAAAAAACAAAAAAAAAAAAAAAAAACAAAAAAAAAAAAAAAAAACAAAAAAAAAAAAAAAAAACAAAAAAAAAAAAAAAAAACAAAAAAAAAAAAAAAAAACAAAAAAAAAAAAAAAAAACAAAAAAAAAAAAAAAAAACAAAAAAAAAAAAAAAAAACAAAAAAAAAAAAAAAAAACAAAAAAAAAAAAAAAAAACAAAAAAAAAAAAAAAAAACAAAAAAAAAAAAAAAAAACAAAAAAAAAAAAAAAAAACAAAAAAAAAAAAAAAAAACAAAAAAAAAAAAAAAAAACAAAAAAAAAAAAAAAAAACAAAAAAAAAAAAAAAAAACAAAAAAAAAACAAAAAAAAACAAAAATACAGCAAATAAGTAGATCATGAAAATTGCCAGGAATAACACACGAGCAGAGCGAACGAAGAATTTGGAATTTTACCTCATATTCTTCCGAAATATTATATAAATATCCGAGCATCGGTATCACTACGTTATAATTACTTTAAGCGGCAATGCTTTTTTTGAAATTACCGAAATTTTTTATCGCACTTGGAATTTAATAAGCAGATTTTTAACGAATAAAAAAAGACGTTGCACGAGAATTTTTCGAAACTACTCTAAAGCCGTGGCTGTAAGCTATCTCGTAGCTTTAAAACTTTAAGCCTCGACTTTTCAAAGCAATATTATGTAAATCTTTAAGCCTCCATAGTATTGCACTGGCAGATAAGCATGAAAGATAATACTTTCGAAAACTCTCGGCTTTCACCGTACTTTTATAACGCTTGAAAAATGAAATATCGCGCCCGAGCAAACGGACGCGAATTCGGAGTCGAGTCGAGCCGAGCCGAGCCGTTCACACGTACACCCGATGTACTTGGACGCGCCATCTTTTTTTCATTTGACATTTGCTAAAGCATCGTAAGCTCTGCCGATAAAAAGGCGCGCGATAGACAGAGAGAAATAGAGAGAGAGAGAGAGAGAGAGAGAGAGAGAGAGAGAGAGACAGAGAGATCGGAAAACCAACCTGGAAGAGCATCGTGCGATTAAGGTCCTCGTTCTCCTTGACGGACGAGTCACGCCTGGACATCATGACACTACCCGTGGATGCCGCCCTGTTACGCATCGTCGTCTCCGGGGGTAGTACCGCGCCCGGCCTCTTCGGCAGCAGGAGACCCGAGCTCTCCGTGGTCACACCCTGGCTAGCGAAGGACTCGACCGAGCCGCCCAGCGGACTCGTCGGCGAGGCCACGCTTTCCACGCTCCCCAATTCGCTCGCGTTCGAGTCCTGCGAGCAATAATACACAGGCGCGGGACTTTAATAGTAGACTCCTTGACAAACTAAACTTACTTCATCGCTCGTTGGCTGCTGACGCGAACGAGAAACTCGATCATTCGAATATCATCGTTCATTCTCTGCGAAATCCCCTTACTAATTTACCCTTCCCACACTCCTCGAGCGAGCGCGTAGTTTGAAATTCAGTTAAACCTAATGCAAATCGTTCGAGTGGTTTCTGATGTTGAGAATCTTCGATCAAACAACTATTTATGCATAGATCCTTGCATCGGGTAGTGACAAAATTTTGATTAGACGGTATAGTTGAAAGTCTGCGATGGTGAAATGGATTCGGGACGATTGGAAGTGTGCGCGAGAGAGCCGAGTTATTATAAGCGACCGATGAGGGAGCCAACCTGAACACACCAGGACGTTCTTATATTTTATATTTACACTCAGTGTTTCCTTCTCGCGGAAAGGGATGAAAATGATGGGTATTATTATTATTGTAGAAGGTCGGAATGCACGTGTGAGTTCTCATAGCTCCGAAACAAGGCTGGTGCATTCTATATCGAGCTGCCGAGATCACGATCGAAGAAATTCAAATTCACGTTCCATTCGATTCTGCAATCCATATAAATGGACAGATTAGTTTAGCATTGTTTTTTGTTTCTTTTTTCTTATTGTTTGCAATTAGAGAAAAAGTAGATGCGAAAAACGAGCGAGAACCCGCTAGCTATCGGACGACTCAAATGTAGTTTCCGTATACATGATTTATTACCCCAGTGAGAGGACCATTTCCGCGAAGTAAACAACCTACGGGGAATTTTTATTACCAAGTGCGCGAGGATCGTATGACTCCTTCAGGGTGCAGAGGAGACGCGAGTATCCCTAATAAGGAAGGAATTGACTTTGGTATTCTGCTCGTTAACGGGCATTAAACAATTCACAAAATTCAATATTCGATTCATTGTTTTTCTCAATGTTTATTCGCAATCTAATAATATCCCTACACTTTATTTATATCGACATATTCAATTTCACACACACACGCGCGCGCGCGCCCACGTAAATTAATATTTTGACTGCAAATGAAATCATCACATAATTGTACGTGTAGTTTCGTTCGTAAGAAATGTTCTTAATTTACATTTTTTGAAAATAAACAAAACATCGGTTATATCACGATATTCTATTAATTAACTTTTTTATACTTGTTTCTGTGTAAATATGTTGACATGCGCATGTACATGCACAACTCGTTTACGTGTGCACATAAATGAGATCAATCTTAATACATTAATAGGACTTTGTAAATAAATAAAAAATATTATTAGTCTTTTGATATTTAATTTGTTATTTTACTTCTATCCTCATTGATTTTCAAATTCATTCGATGAAACGTAATTATTCATCACGTACAAAGCTCGCTTGTGAATAAAAAAACAAGACCTTTTAGTATAAATCTTCATAATCCAATGATTTATTATTGTATTTTTTAATAAATAGAATAATCTTAGTAATATTTAGTAAGATTTCTTACCACGCTGTCTCTTCGAATATTTGTGAAGTTATTGGAAGTATTGGATTGTTGCTTAAGCTGATGACCATCGGTGAGTAAATTGCTAATTGTTGACTTGGATTTTTCGAGTCCATGATTCCGAAATTTCACGAGTACATCGTCAATGAATGTTTCGAGTACTTTTAAATGAGCGATCTTTGTTTTGCCAACGTACAGTACCTAGGAAATGCGAGAAATTATTCATATTTGATATAAACAAAAGTATTTATTCAAGGATAAATAAGAGCAAATACACAAGTCTCTTCTCATAAATTTATTTATCTCCCAACGTAAAACGTAAAGCATAAAATTCAGCCAAAACAAACTAAATTCATTGAAACAAACTAAATATTAATGATCAAGCGGAATTAAGAAATTCTTTACATTTATTATATATTCTTTAATTCATTTAGAGACATTGAAAATTAAATAAAAAGCAATAATAATATAAGAATAATAATCCAGCACAAAAAATTATCTATATCTAGAAACATAATTTGATGGGAAAACATTTTTTAAGTAATTAATTTTTCAGCTTAAGGAGTTATATATACGTTATTCACGTTATTCAAGGACGATTTTTTAATATAAAAATTTATACACAATATTCGACTACGAAACACTGTGATAACTTTTATAATCGATAATACACTAATATTCTTCAAATCGATGATACACTATAATATACAGTATAATGGATAATATAATATACTATATTGGATTGTAGTTGAACTCAATTTTGAAAATCTAATGACTTTTGGCTGTAACAAAATAACCATTCCTTATACATCAATCGAATTACCAATTTACGTCGCATAATTTAATTTTAGTGATTTATACGAATGATAGTCACTAAAATGTTAAATTACATTAAAGTAATATGATATTTTAATTGAACACCATTAAAACCATTAAAACAGTACAAACATAAATAAATTTTTATCTTGAGTTTATCTAGTGTTAAGCAATACTATTGATAAACAAAGATTTTTATAAATTTTATCTATTAAATAATGACTATTTATTATTGTCAAACTTTAATCGTTCAATTTCTTAAAATTTACTTTACAACCTTTAAATTTTCCCATTGAGTTTTCCCAAATCTTATACTTCGATTTTAAATAATTAATGTTTAATTTATTGAAAAGATCTAGGCATCTTTATGCATTACAACAATGAAAATGATTTTTCGTAAATTTCACGCTTACAAATATTGAAGGGAATTTTTTTTCAAGATAAATAAAAAGTACGTCAAACATTATGTAATAATACTTGGCTTTTGCATTGCTATGTAAATGGTGAAAAATTACATAAATTACAAAAAATTCTCGACATGTCATTTCACGAAAACTTTTAGACTCTCATGGACTCTCATCACCGAATATGCAAATTTAGACATTTTTTTCTTTTCTAAAGCCGAACGTGCTTAAGAGAAATTGCCGCACTGATGGCGCAGGAATTGCACGTTTTTATTAAAGTAAACAGCATTTCGCCAGACATGAAATAAATTGTAAATATAGGAGTAAAAGTAGAAATATGAGAGCGTTTCATTGAAATCGAAATGTCTGCTCTGAGCATTAGGTGGAATTAAATGGAATTGAATTGTCTCTCTTTAAGACAATATATCTTTTAATCTGACAAGTATTTTAAAACTCATGAAATCCGCTTACTTTCAGCAATATATTACGTATGCTTTGCCTTACATTTTTAAATATAAATTGTTTAATAATAAAGTGCACCTCGTGATAATTAATAATTACCAGATGTTTCAATTACATTTCAACACAATTTTCATATTGAACATAAATAACTAATTGTTTATAAATGTGGAAATACAATAACAAGACTTATGAAAAATATCAACAGCTAAAATAATATATATATATATAGTAATAGACGAAGACTTATTTATAATAATAGCAAATAAACGGTACGTAATTGCGTGGGCGAGTTAGTTTGTTCAAGCCATTGCACAATTGCATTGCACATATAACAATCATTGAATTTTTCATTCGATCGTGACCTCCATTACATCCTTATTACCTCAAAAAATTGCGAAGAGCTCGGGGATATATCGGCGCCAATTGACGTAAGTGCCGTAGCACTGCTAAGGGATCTTTGTGGAAGTTCCCTATCTCTCTCAGTTCTCGACGAGGAAGACTGTTCCTTCATTGCCCCGAATAATTCTTGTACCTGCGGACATAAATGACGTGCCAATTTAATGTAAATGTATTTTAAGTGGAATGATGATTAATAGCGGATTATGTAGAGAAAGGTAGATGAAAATTCGATAATATTACGAAAGTAAAGAAAAGTGATTTAAGACAAAGAAAAGGTAAAATAAAGAAAAAAGAATAATTGACTTGAAAATATTCGGATGGTAATTATTAATTGTACATAAACAATTAATTTTATGTATAATAATAGTAATTACAACGCATATGTCGAAAGCTTTGACTTTTATTTAAATTATCAGAGCTTTCATCTTTCTTTTATCCATCGTAAATACTTAAAGAAATATCGACGACGTCTTCTTTCTATCTTGAAAAAAAGTAATTCTATTAGTTGTAAGAGGTTAACTCACACAATTAATTGTATACTATGAATATCGGATGAGAATTTAAAATATCTATTTAAATTAATTATTAGCGTAATCGAAGCTTGGAGGAATGATACGGAATTTAAACGTATTTTTTTTTTTTTTTTTATCAATTACGGATTGGTTTCATGTTTGAAATATCACTTGAAATAAAAATATTAATATGGGATTCGATATTTAATATAAAAGGTTCAAATGTATTTCTTCTAGCTATAAAAAATTTAAACCAAGCATCACACTCGTATTATCAAACAATAAGACTTTTGTTAATTGGAGCTTTTAAGCTTTTAAATTTATTCAAATTCCAATTTTTAAAAAGCTTTGTAAAATATATCTGCATTGCAGCATTTTCAAATTAAGTAGTTTCACACATTTTTTGTAAAATAATTGTAATAATATCAACATGTCATATAACTGATACATTAAATGAAATTAAAATATACGATATAGTCATTATGTTAATAATGTTAAAATTTTCTACGTTATATACAATCTGGATATATTATATATTTGATCTGCTGAATGCATTAATTGCTTATTAGATATATTAAATGAAGTGATCGATTGATGAACAAATACATTATTATTATTATTATTATTATTATTATTTTGTTTCATTTACATTACAAGAAGATAATAGCTCTTTATAAATTTACAGTATTCGTTTTATTTAAAAGTAAGAAGAAATCAACTTCACAGATTTTAATATTCCTGAAGAAAATATAGTAAAATTCGTATTTCAGTCAAATTAAAATACTAGAGTCTTATCAAATTCAGGAATCTATGGGCATTGACTTTTTCAGAATACATTTGCACGATACCATTGACTCGTGAATTACATGCTACTGATTACCAAATATGTAACGCATTGCAATTAAATATTAAACGATAATTATTTTTAAATGTTCCGTCGCGGAATAAAATATTAGGCGACTTAGTATGCATTTTCAAGTTTCACAAACAAGTTAAGTAGGGACGAAAAAAGTATGTAGAAATATAAATAGTAAAATTAAAACCAAGAGTATGTCAAGTTACATCTGAAAATAATGTAAAAACTAAAAATAAGGAAAATATAGCTTTCTCCGTCTAAGTCACTTTCTCAACCTCGATTCTTGTTCTTCTCTGCCCGCCTCTTTCTCCACAAAAATATACACCCTTCGAACAAAGATAGATAGATAGATAGATAGATAGATAGATAGATAGATAGATAGATAGATAGATAGATAGATAGAGAGAGAGAGAGAGAGAGAGAGAGAGAGCTGCTGTGCTTCAAAAGAGAGAAGGAAGGTGGTTGCGCAATAGCGAGCTACTACGTTCTCCTTGGCTCTGCCTTGGTCCCTTGTTAAAAGGGCTTTTGTTTTATTATTTTTCGCGCGAGAGATTTGAGAGACGATGAGTCAAGAGGCTCGCAAATATCTAAGGAGAAGGTCAGGTGGATAACGAACTCTCTTGTTCCAATACGTGATGCGAAAGTAATTTTGTTCGCCGCATAAAAAATATATTCCCACCACTGGCTTACAATCGCCTTCGAGAATCCTTGCGAGATTACGTTTTTTTCTCCCTTATTTTCTTCTTCTTCTTTTCTTTCTTTTTCGTCAATTTTCTGTATTCGCAACTTTATATTTACGTATAAACACAATTATACAGTCGAACAACCCTGCGCCATTAGAGCTTTCGGCAGATATGCTTCTATTAATATTAGTAATATTAGTAATATTAATAAGTAATATTAGTAATATTACTCTTATATTATTATTAGTACATATTATTACATATTATTAGTAATATGCACGGTAATAAAAATAACAATTTTATAGTAAACTCTACTATTACATTAACGTGAAAAATGTACGTAAAGTATCACTATGGCGCGGCTTTTTAGTTCGAAAAAAGTTTTATGCAAATGAGCTGTAATGCACGAATAAATCAAAAGTAGTTAAAAAAAAAGATAAAATAAAAAATTAGACAGACGTTAACATCGATTAAACGGTCTAAAAATGCATAAACCATAACATTTAATTAATACAAGTTTATTATTTATACGCGTATATGTACTTTTTTTTTTTTTTTTTTTTTTTTTTTTTTTTTTTATATATTTTTACTATTTATGTTATGTATTCATAAATTAGATAAAAGCGCTTTAAATGTTGTATAATCGTAACCATTTGTATTTATAAAAACTTTAGAAATCTTTTAACATCTGATTAGCAAATTTTATTTTTCTAAACGCAATAAAACAATTGTATGTAAAGTTCAAAACCATGTGACTGAAAGTCACTAATTAATTGAAATTTCTTTTTCCTATTCAGTTCGTATTACGTGTCATATAAAAATATCGTCATTAGAAACTAGAACGAAAAAAGGTGAGTAGCATGTATTCATGACTGCTTACTTCCAACTTTTCTCCTTTCACTCTGTCATTTTAGATAAGCCAAGAATCTAAATATATATCAACCATGTCAAAAAATTATCTTCTTTAGTACATTAAGACATTTCTTGCTTCCCCGCCCCCTCCTTTTTTTTCTTTTCTTTTTCTTTCTTTTTAATTTAACTTTATATTAATAGCGTGTACTTAAAAAGGACCGAGACAATATGTTTCTTCCTTAATAGGTTTATGAATACAATAAAATAGTATATAAAATAATGTGTTTAAATTTAATTACATTTTATTAAGTAATAAATAGAATATCAATAATAATTTATAAAAAATTAATATTTATAAAATTGTAAAATGAAATGATGAAAATTATGGGAAAAATTTTTGTTTCTTATACAATTTCTGATTAAAAATATTAACTTTATAATGCAATTGCGCGTAAATAATGAAATACATTGTAGCTCTAATAAAATTGTTATTAAATTAACAAAGATAAAGATTGTTTACGAGCATGAGAATTACCATAATTAATATTACTTCAAGTGAATACACGATTGTAAATAATTTTTTCTTTTTCTTTTATTTTTATGCTACAACAATTTTTAAAAAATATTTCAAGTTTTTATTTTTCTATTAATTGCACTTGAGTAGAATAATTTAGAATTTACTAATTATATTCGCTGGAACAATTATTATCGTCACGTGATGTTCTATATGTTCTTGTATATGTCCATATATATATATATATATATATATATATATATATATATATATATAGAAATGCTTGATAAACCATTATTTGGAAATAGCCGATATAAACAAATTTTCTTCTCATTTTCAGTACAAATATTGGAAAATAAAATACAACGGTATTATTCACAGTTAAAATTAAATGATATAGGTATTGGTAAGTCTATCGATTACTCCTCCAAGGAAAATTTTATTTCAGCGCTAGGCAAAAGGCAATTTCCATCCACAAGCACAAAATACTTCATAAACAGTGACATGTAAATTTCAGAGAAAGTATTGGAAAAGAAGATGGAACACGAAATGACAGGAGAGTGCGATGGGACGTGCAGGAGAAAAAAGCACGATAAAAGGCTTCACCTATCCAATTACGAAGCTCCGAGGGAGCTTATCATTCGTTATATTATCAGCCGGTAATGGCTAGTCTGAGACATTGCAAACTTGAAGTTCTCGATAAACGAGCAATAAATCGGTATTGCGTGGTCAGAATCACCTATCGGAAATTATTTATTCTCATTTGTTGTGTACGCGTGTGACTAATTATGGCCGGAGCCTGTCTTGAAAAAAATTTTACTTTACCGTTTGAATAGTGAAAGGAAAAGGTAAATGGTGCAAAAAAAAAAAAAAAAAAAAAAAAAAAAAAAAAAATATAAACAATAGAAGAGAAATTATGGTAGTAGAAGAGATAATAAAAATGCAATTTCTAACTACTAGATTCTTACATTAAAATGTTTGCCTATTGGGATGACGATAACTACTTTCACAACGATAATTCAGTCCCCAAGTCCCAGAAACGCTCAAAAGATCATCTACATATTCATTAAATAAATTCGCCATTGCATTTTTAAAAGGAAAAGGTGTTTATCAAAATAATATTAATTTTTATACTACTAAAACGTGATAATGGAATTAGTCACATTAGAATGAAATATATGTCATTGAGGCGATGGTGAGTAACATTAATACAATTGTTGTATGTACAGTTTGAATGTCTTTTTTAAGAGTCCAGTAAATTCAATTTATCAGCTATATTTACAATTCAAGCTCTTCCTTCATTCTCAGCAATATTTGATAATTTGAGTCGCTTAATATATATATATAAATCATAATAATTAATTGACGCAGTTGGCATTCAGTTTATTTTTTATTAAACATCATACATATTACCTAAAATTTGAAAAATCTGGTATTAATTTTATCATTTATTTCTAATTTATTTCCAGTTATTCTTATTTAACGATATCATTAGTTTTGTATAAGATTAATTTTTTTTGCGTTTAAAACTTTGTCGATAAATTATTGATTTTAAAAGGCATTATGAGTTAACTTATGCTTTGTATTATTTATTCACTGATAAATTGCCTAAGATTTATGATATACAGCGATACGATATTTTTTAATTATATCAAAATTTTAATTCCAGCGAAATATTATCATCACAATATCTTAAATAATAAATAAATTTCACTT